TGGCATTCGCTACTTTTGGTCGTAGTCTCGTACCCTGTTGCCCTCTGGCAAGTACGATAGGATGGTAGGGGTGGGGTCGTGATAATTTATGTTATCAGAGAAGCCAGGATAGAGTTCTTGGCCTAAAGAGTCTTAAAAGTGTCCTTAGGCTGGTTTTGGATAGGCTAGTAACTGGGTGTTCATGTTTTAGGTCAAAGATGACGAGGACTCGTGCCAACGATTCAAGCTCTAGTAATGGGAACAGGGAGGCATTCGGAGAATTCTTTAAGTTGCTTGGGGCTATGACTCAAATTATGAAGGACTGTGACCCCGACTGCTTCTGCCGTAGACCAGGCACATAGTGGATTAATTGAGAGGTTCAGAAGGCTTGCGCCTTCAACATTCTCGAGACATGGAGGATTAGAAAGGGCAGAAAGATGGACGAGGCCAGTAGAGAAGATTTTTGGAGGTTTGCATTGCTCTAATGAGCCAAAAGTCCAGTTGGGAACCTTTATGCTGGAAGGGGACGCTGAGCATTGGTGGAGCTCGGTGAAGCAGTCTTGGGTGGAGACAAGGACTATGACCACCTGAGAGAACTTCCTAGTGGCGTTTGATGAGAAGTATTTTTCCGATTTTTTCCGATAGAGGAAAGAAGTGGAATTTATCGAGCTGCAACAAGGGAGGCTATCGGTAGAACAGTATGCAGCCAAATGCGCAAAGCTTTCTCGGTATGTGCCCCATATCATTAACACAAAGGCACGTAAGGTGAGTAAGTTTGAGAAAGGCCTCAGGCCAAATATCCGAGGAATGGTAATGTCATCCAACCTTAAGGTGTTCTCCTTGTTGGTGGACCTAGCCTTGAAGATTGAGAAAGATTGTGAGGAGTTCTGGTTGAGGAGGGAAGGGAGAGTAAGGTTTGCACCGTCTAGAGGTCTTGGGAGGAAGACTCGGTCGCCTCCTAAGAGAGACTTTAGGGGAAGGCCTAATCAGGGCAACATGAAAACCCAAAAGACCTTCCCGGGTGATGTGAGGGATAACCAGTGCCCGACTTGCTCATATTGTGGATTGAACAACCACTCTGCGACTGAATGCTACAAGAAGTCGAGAACATGCTATCGGTGTGGCAAGCCTGACCTCCTAATCAAGAGCATCCCTATGACGAATCCTGAGGACAGATCGAAGACTCAGGGTCAGGTGTTTTCGCTCACGGAGCAAGAGGCGAATGCATCTACCTCAGTGATCCGAGGTGAGCTCTCTGTTTGTGATAGAGAGGCTAGAATTTTGATTGACCTTTGTTCCTCTCATTCTTTTGTTCCACCTCATTTTGCATGTCCTATAAATGTTGAACCTTCACTTTTCGATTGTACTTTAGTAATGTGCACATCTGTGGGGGATTCTATGGAAACATATATGGTATACAAACAGTGTGGGGTTTTGCTACAGAGGTGTTTCCTACCCATGGACTTGATACTTTTAGATATTCAGGATTTTGATATTATTTTGGGCATGGACTGGTTGTCTACACACCATGCCATTATTGACTGTTATAATAAAATTGTGACATTTAAATGCCCTAACTAACATGAGATGCACTTTGTTGGTATCAAGGATGCTCGCCCTTTACATTTTATTTCAGCCCTTCGGGCTTACCATCATTTGGCTGAAGGATGTGTCAGATACGTAGCTTATGTGGTAGAAAATCGAGATGTCCAGTCCAAGTTAGAAGAGATATACCACTGGTAAGAGAATACCCAGAAGTTTTTCTCAAAGAGTTGTCCTCTTTGCCTCCAATAAGGGAGATAGAGTTTGAGATAGATGTGGTCCCTGGTATTGCTCTCATCTCTAAAGCCCCATATAGGATGGCTCAGCAGAATTGAAGGAGCTAAAAGAGCAATTGCTGAAGTTGTTAGAGAAGGAGTTCATCCGACCCAGTGTGTCGCCTTGGGGTGCCCTGGTTCTCTTTGTGAAGAAGAAGGATGGGTCCATGAGGCTTTGCATAGACTATAGGCAGTTGAATCAAGTAACAGTGAAGAACAAGTACCCCCTGCCTAGGATTGAAGACCTCTTTGACCAACTTTAAGGGGCCCAAGTGTTCTCTAAGATTGATCTCCGAACGGGTTATCATCAACTGAGGGTCAGGAAGGGAGATGTCCTCAAGACCGCATTCGGAACCTGATATGGCCACTATGAGTTTTTAGTAATACCGTTCGGATTGACTAATGCCTCAATTGTTTTCATGGACATGATGAATAGAATTTTCAGACCCTTTCTGAATGATTTTGTTGTGGTCTTTATTGATGATATTTTGGTGTATTCGAAGAGCCTATAGGAGCATGAGTAGCACCTGAGAGTAGTCCTTCAAGCTTTAAGGTCAAAAAAGTTGTATGCCAAGATTGAGCAAGAGTGAATTTTGGCTTCCTAGTGTGACATTCCTTGGGCACGTTATTTCTAAGGATGGGGTCGCAGTTGACCCTTTTAAGATTCAAGCCGTACTCAAGTGGGGACGACCGACAAACATGACAGAAGTTTGTAGTTTTCTGGGGTTAGCAGGATATTACAGGCGCTTTGTAGAAGTATTTTTGAAAATAACACTCCCTTGACTTGTTTAACCCAGAAGAATACGATATTTGTGTGGTCAGATGACTGTGAGAAAAACTTTCAAGAGCTAAGGAAGAGATTGACCATAGCTCCAATACTGACCTTACCCGAAGGAACTATGGACTTTGCAGTATACACCGATACCTCTCATAAAGGGCTTGGATGTGTACTAATGCAGCGAGGGAAGGTCATTACATATGCCTCTCAACAGTTGAAACCGTATGAGCAGAATTATCATGATTTGGAGCTTGTGGCTATAGTATTTGCTTTGAAAATCTGGAGACACACCTCTATGGAGCCCAATTTAAGGTGTTTACAGATCATAAGAGCCTCAAGTACCTGTTTTTTCAGAAGGAGTTGAACATGAGGCAAAGGAGATGGGTGGACCTATTGAACGATTACGATTGTACCATCCAATATCACCTAGGCAAAACTAACGTGGTAGCCGATGCTTTAAGCATGAAGCCCATGATATCAGTGGCTCATCTAATGGTCCGAGAGATGAAGTTGTTAGAGGATGTAGTGGGATGGCATCTAGCTCCGCCCCTTGGTGATGGGGTAAGTATGACAGATTGCATAAGGGTAGAACCCCAGCTTTTTCAATAGATTCGACTGACACAAAAAAAGGAACCCCAGCACATGAAGATTTTCGAAGAGATGAAGCTAAGAAAGAGAGATGATTTCTCTATGAGAAATGTTGACTTGTTGAGATTCAGAGATCGGGTTTGTATCCCGAATGATGAGGATGTGAAGAGAGATATCTTGGAGGAAGCTCACCGCTCCCGTTACGCTAGATATCCTGGGAGTACTAAGATGTATCGGGACGTAAAGAAAACTTTATAGTGGAATGACATGAAAATGGAAGTAGCGTTGTTTGTTTCTAAGTGTTTGACAAGCCAGGAAGTGAAAGCTGAGCACCATAAACGTAACGAATTATTGCTGCCCTTACCCATGTCGGAATGGAAATGGGGGCACATTGCTATGGACTTTATCTCTGGTTTGCCTAGAAGGAGTTCTGGGCATGATAGCATTTGGGTCGTTGTGGACCGGCTGACCAAAGCTGCCCACTTCTTGACGATCCGCACGACCCACACCTTGGATAAACTGGCTCAGTTATACATTAAGAATATATTGAGGTTGCATGGAATACCAGTCAGCATCGTGTTCGACAGAGACACTAGATTTACTTTGAGATTTTGGGTTAGTCCGTAGTCAGCCTTGGGGACGAGACTCACTTTTAACACTTCCTTTTTCCCCTAGATAGATGGGCAATCAGAGAGAACCATTCAGACTTTGGAAGATATATTAAGGGCTCGTGTCAATGATTTTAAGGGAAGCTGGGATGATCATTTATCCCGAATTGAATTTTCTTATAACAACAGCTTCCAAGCTAGCAATCAGATGGTGCCTTTTGAGGCTCTATATGGATTAAAATGTAGATCACCCATTTGTTGGGACGAGATTGGTGAAAGAAGGCTTTTAGGGCAAGAAATTGTCCAAGTGGCCTCATAAAATATTTCTTTGATTCGAGAGAGGCTCAAGACAACTCAAAATCGGTAGAAGAGTTCCACAGATAACAGAAGAAGAGACCTTGAGTTTGAGGTGGGTATTTTCTTGAAGGTGTCACCAACTAAGGGCATTATGAGATTCTGTAAGAAAGGGAGTTAGGATGTGAGTCACATGGGAGGGTCACCCCCCCCAAGAAGTGTATAGGGCACTACACAATGGGTCATCAATTGGTGGTGTAATGCCCTTCAGCTAGAGAATAATTGAAGGTCGTGTCTTGCAAGGCCTCCGCCTATCAAAAGCCCTAAAGCACGCTGGGGACTGTGTGTATATGAAGGTATTACGAAATGGGTCACCCATTCTTCATTGTTTCCCTCCTAAGTGATGGTAGAAGTCCTAAGCAATGAGAATGGCTTGGCTTGATGGATAGAGCTTCTACTTCGGGAGTAGGGGAACTAGGGAGTGAGTTAGTTGACAATTGTTGTTACTTGCCTAAATACGCAGATCTGTTAAGACTTTACGGTTGAATGACTAAATTGACATATGCTTCGTATCGTATATGATTGATTTGATTTGTCATTGCTTTACTATGAATTATGCATTATACACTGATGGAGATGATTTTGATACATGGCTCATGTTTTATAAGAATTGCATAACACTCTGAGTATTGTTATGAGAGAATGTTCATAAGCAAGAAGGCATGACAACTTGATCTATTTACTGGGCTTTACAGATTTCTCTTTTATCTTCATATATGTAGAGCAATAGCCGCAGATGGAGGACGGGCGGTTTGGTGATCGCGACTGGCTGTTGGAGCTCCGTGTTTTTGTGGAAGTTCTTATTTTCAATTATATGTTTTGGATGGCAGTAGCTACATAGTTCTTGTCTATTTTGAAGTATTGTAAATGTTATTGGGCCTTTGAAGCCTTGGACATATTTGTAATACCTTTGGATCTCTTTTTCTATATATATGTGGTCCGGATCTTGGTTGTCCAGTTTTTGTTTGTAGTTGTGTGATTAGAGTTTTGTTTTTCTTCGTGGTTTGCTTTGTTTCATTGTTCTTAAAGTGTTGAGCGCACTCCCACCTGAGTTGCATTCGCTACCTTTGGTCACGGTTTCACACGCTGTTGCCCTCCGGCAAGCTCGATAGGACGGTAGGGGTTGGGGTCGTGACACTTCATCACCAAACTTAAGAGGAACATCCACCATTCCCATATCAGCCATCATCTTTGCCACCTTTGAAGAATAATCTCGAGGCCACCTTTGAAGAATAATCTCGAGGCCCTAGAATGGGTAAAGGAGGATCCTCTGCATTAGGAATGACACTCAAAGGCAGTGCAGTAGGGGATACCGTCAAAGCCAGATCCGTTGGAGAAGCATCATTCTCATGAACAACAGCCTCATTCTCTAAGAGCAATTGCACCCCCGGAGTTTCCTCAGGTTCAACCACCACAATGGCCATCGGGACAATCAACAGAGGGTTGAAATGGGATCGGCTTTCCTTCATCTGACCCTTCGCTATCGCTAAACAGAAAAGGAGGGGGTACATCTCTGATTTACAGAAGACAGACACCAACAACCAAAACCACCTCCAACGAGAGGTTTGCCCCAAGACTTTCTTGCTAGCGAGAAGACACATCAGAGAAGCGATGGCCGATAGCAGCCTTCATTTCCTTCTCCACCTCTTTCCTGTGAAGAACAAAGAGGATTGAGGAGTTACAACAGACGAAATAACCACCACATGTACAAGGCTTTCTTCCCCACGCAAATCCCTTTCTTTATCAAAGATCTTCTTCCCTTTCAAAATTGTCTTGGGACTCAGCACCACTGCCAAACCATCCCCTCCTACACCGACTCCAAGCGAAAGACTGGTGGACCCCCGTGACCACCACAAACATTAGGGCTGCACATAGGTGGACCAGTCAACGATTTTCGAAAAGAACCACCCAAAGTCCAAGCTTCCTTATTCTCGTCAACGCTTTTTGAACATCCCTTATTTGCCACCCGCTTGATATTAATAAATTCCCAAAAACCAGCAGAAGAATCTAGAAACCTGCCAACCGGAATCCACCGTTTAGAGATCTTAAGAGTTACAAATAAATTTCTGAGAATTCCACCTAAAATTTCTCTTAGGCCTGGATCTCTCTGGAATAAAGTTTCTAACAGGTGACTTCATCTTCTACGGCTTCTCAAACTTACCACAATTCTTAAATCCCAAGCTAGAGTCCTTCACTGTATCCTTCACCGAACAAACAGAATCTACCTCAGAAGAGACCAGAATCTCAAAAAGGTCTTCCCCAATATCCAAACAAATTTTCTTCGAGATATGAAAACCTTGGACTCTCCAAATCTTCACAGGCATAGCTTTACAAATAGGACTAAAAAAGGAATCCCAGACCATATCACATTATACCCGAAAACTACTTACAAGTGTTTTAATAATGGCCAAATTCCAAGTATTCAAAGGAATACCATGAAGATTAATCCAAACCACCTCCTTCTGTAAATAGGAGCCATGATCCGATGACTTCCATTGATCTAACGAAAGCAAACTACCTTGGGCTCTACAGAATCGATAAAGAAGAGTTCTCTGAATCTCCTCCTTGGAGCAAAGTTTGAACACTACTTTATGAAACCAAGGACCTTAACATCAGGTCGGAAAGACAGATTCCAACCCCTCTTTGTCTAGTCTGAAAGGCCAAAGCAATTAGAAATAGGGGGCGAAAAAGAGCATGACACAAAAAACTCAGATTTAATATTAAGCTTCTCCCAAACTGTTCTATCGACCCACACGGTAGGAAAGGAAGAACAGCCCAATCCATCACCTAATCCACCTAAACTACCAGCAGCACTACCACTCAGCGCCATCCTACCGCATGACCATCCACTTTCACTCTCATCTTCTTGCTCCCTACTACCAGTCATGTTCATTGACCGATTCCCAGCCTTGTGCACTCTTCTGTTCTCAGTTTGCAGTATTTCTTTAGGGTAATATCTCCTTGTTCTCCCTCAAATCTCTGTTTTCTCTCGGTTTCTCTCTGTTTCTCAATCTCTCTACGTCTTTCTTCCCTTTGTTAAAATATCTCTCTCACCTCTCAAATCTAACCATCTACTTCTAAAAGATCTCACAATATATATATTTTTTAACATTTCCGATATAAACCTTTTTTCTTTTCGTTTTTCCTTCCCTCTCTCTCGTCTCTCACTTTCTCTCCCACCTGTCTCTGTCTCTCATTCTCTCCCATGAAAACTGCTCATGAGCTGTTGTACAGTAACTTCGCCTATGAGTCTACCGTCGTCCATTTCACTTCACTCGGACAGTGGTGATAAAAAGATTTCAAAAAAACCCTCGAATAGCTCCCCCTCCTTTCTGTCTCTCTTTAAATTTTCAGATGCCCTCTCCCTCTCCCTCTCTCCTCTCTCTATCTTTCTCTCTCCTCTTTTCCTTCCTAAATTTTCTCATATCCATACATTATTGGACGTTTTGAGTAAGAGTCAAGAAGATCTTAGAAAAATTCAACATTTTCGTGTAGAGGATCTCCCTATCTTCTCCCTCATTCTCTCTCCTCCCCTCCTCCTCGCCCTTTACCTAGAAGCCTTCTTCAACTCTCTCGCTTTCTTATCAATACGTCTATTTCCTGCATATAGGCCCTCTCTATCATTCGCTCGTAGTCGCCGTCTGTGTCAAGTATATTGGCTATGGTTGTGATCTCAAGCTCGTTCCCCTTTACCACCCACTTAGAATCATTGTGTGGCAAACCCATGAGCACTTATTACTTAGTACTCGGGGCATCGAAACTGGTGACTAAGAAAAATTTTGCTTGATTTATAGTAGGTAAATCACAAGAAAAAGCCTAAGTTTGATTTGAAAATTTTATTTTCTGAGTAAAACAAAAAAATATCCCTACTAAAATTTCAGTACATCAGCTGAGAAATTATACCCTATATAGTTATTTACAGTCAATAAATCACAAAAAGGCTGCAACCCTAACCCTATTTTTCTTTAATGGCCCATAACATGTGAATATGCTCCAACAAATGAAACCCTATGTTTTTTCTTTAATGGCTAAAACCCATCCAAATTTTTTTGAATAAATCCCAAAACGAAATTTGTGTATAAAATGCTTGTTCAACAAAGCACTAAGGGCTTTGCTTTTTCAACAATGGCACTATCCGTTTGAGCAACATTGGTGTGAGTTTTGCAAGTAAACAATCCAAAGATGTGGGCTTTGCTTGTCCAACAAAAGAAGTCCTAGTAGGCTCTCAATGGTTTACAACGCTAGGCATTAAATTCATAGTAAAAAACGTCAGTTTTATCTTAAATCACCAAAAATGCCTCACTCAATAAAAAAATGGTTAGTAAAAAGTGAAGATCACAAAAAATGCTAAAAAAAACTACACATATAGGAAAATAAACTATCTGCGGTTTCAAAAAAAATTGTTAGTTTCAATAAATCACGGTAAAAAATAGGTACTTTAGTGATAATATTAATTTTCAGTGGAAATTGTCTATTGTTCTTGTGATAATATTTATCTCATTATTTATCTAAAGCGTGTTTTTTTAATAATAATTTTTTCTAATTAATATGTTACTAGCAAAATTACTATGTAGAACAAATAAAACAATGTAGATCCCACATCTCTCTATCTTACCTACACATTCTCTCTCCAAGTCTCTATATCTCTATCTACACATCTTTCTGTCTACATCATTATTTTAGGAAGTTTCTCCCTACAATCCTATCTCGCTCCTCATCTGCCTATCATGTCCCCTACACATAATGTCTCTCTCTCTCATTTCTATCTTTGGCTCTCTCTACAACCGGAAAAGTACCTTCCCCATAATTTCTCTAGAAGTAGAGGCCCTTTTTATTTTTACAACATGCGTCCACCCTTAAATTTTGGCTTAATAAGTTAGTACAGATAAGAGACATCACAGTACAATCAATGGGTAGGATCATAGTTAGTAAGTCGGGGAAAATTAATATATTAGCTAACCAAAACATCGGTAATAAAGCGGTTATACTTCAAAAAGTCGGAGGAAAAAATCGAGTAAAAAATATGGTCGCACAAAAATAAGGTAAGCTATAGAATCATGAAAATTTTGGATTTGAGTAAAAAAAATAGAGTGAAGAAACCGGATATGTAAATATGACAAAACATAGGATTATGATTTGCAGTTATTGTATAAATACATTAAAGCCATTGAACAATAATTTTATGGTTTTATCTTATGTCATTAGAGTAATACTGGACAATTTTTTGTCTAAACTCTCAATAAATCCAACAACAATGCTTACTTTGTTGTCACAGCACAAAACATATAATAAATTTATTGGGAGCTAAAATGAAACAACAACAATACTAAATGATAGAGTATTGTTATATTTGAGGCAATTATGTTTTTTTTTTTTTTTGACAATTATTTGAGGCAACTATATTCCTAATTAGAAAGTGATAGTTTATTTATATTATTTAAATATTATTGCCATCCAAATTAGAAAGTGATATTTTATTTGTGTTTTTATAATAGTAACCTCCAAGGAGTTGGTTAGTAGAAAGAGAGAGCAATGGAGAGAGAGGGAGATACAATGGGACGGTGCGGGGCAGAAAGAGGGAGACTATTCAAGGGACTTTTTGTCCCACATCCAAAATTGAGTACCGGTTTTACATGTAAAGGCTTCATGGGTTGAGAGGCGGACCCACCAACAAGTGTGTGGAGTGTACAAGTGTGATGGGGTGCCCAGGTGTTAAGTGTCATAACATCACTTGATGGGAGATGGGCAATAATTCATTTTAAAAAAAAATTAGGGAAAATTCTAAAAAAAATCCCAAGACCACACTTTCTATTTATTTCTAACCTAAAAATTTTTTTCACTTTTTTCTCTAAAACGAACTTTCTATGCAAATACCCCCAAGGGAAAAGTTATTGTTTTAGAAAGAAATACCTTTCCCGTACACAAATATCA